TTACACAGTTAAATGCATAATTTTACACGGTTAGTTTTACAATAATATGTGTAAGCGTGTAAAAAATATGCATTTAACTGTGTAAAACACAGATAAAATGTGTAAAAATATAACACGCGTATAAATGCGTAAAATGTGACTACAGATTTACACACTTGGATTTGGAGTGTAGTACACATCCGCAAAGAACGCATAGCGGTCGAAAGTCCATATATCTTTCGATTTTTAGATTAATAAAAATCTTTTGCGCAACACTGCGGTATTTCACGTTTAATAAAACTCATGATAGGATTTCCAATTTGGCTAAAGAAATTAGCATCTCGCGCGAGTCAACGAATAATGCGGGACACATGTGTCCCACATGCATGTGCGGGTTAAACTCCCCCGAACAAGGATTAAGCCTCACACGGAAGAAGATGAAATTGATCATGCTGAATCCGTCACCGCGGGCCTCTAATCTGTGCATTAATCACTATGTAAAATTGACTCAAGTGCCCTAACTCACAATTCAAATGGGACACATGTAGTGCCATACCTCATGAGATTTGGCTTGACAGCCACTCGGCTAGCGACTGACGAGCGTTTCCTATTAGCATTTCATTTTTTTTAAAGGAGAGATAATTCACGTAGTGAATAGAGAGGTAACTATTGGCGATGTCTAGCATTTTGGACAATCCAGGAAATGGGATCCCACTCCTCGTCACGGATGAAACTGCGAGGCACTCTGAATCAGTCAGTCAGAATAAACGCAATTCGTACGCTTTGAGGACGTCGGTTGACGCAGATTGCACGAGAAACGGCAGAGCCAGAGAACGATCCCAAGATAATCGATTAAACTCTTACCGCTGATGAGGACCGAACCGTTTGCCGAGAGACAGAGCGTGTACTCAATCAGCCGACGGCAACTGTAGTTGCTAAATCGCACGACATAACACCATTGCGGGTGTAGGACACTACGCGGCCGGCATCAGCTCATGCCCGATGCACTTGGGGACACACGAGGACGTTGCCGATGACCGTGGCCACCCAACAACAGCGCTTTAATGAAATCCCATACTATCAAAACGTTAGAGATGTGAATTCATCCGGCACGAACTAGATTCCATCGAATAGAAATTATTACAAGTCTGATAGTCTATTAAGTCTGATAATCTGAACGGCACTCCTGAAACAAACGCGCGACGAATCGGTTTGTTTAATTTCAATATTGGCGATAAAAGTACGTTAGCTTCCCCATCGTTGAGTTTTTATTTGGAAAAAATGGAATTTGCTGAGTATTTAAAAATTTAGCTAAATTTTTAGATATTTCAGTAAAACGGTTCTTTTCATGTACATTCTCGGGATCCTGGACTCTTCCACTTCTCCAAAATCGTACCCGTGAGAGAGAAGATATTCGAAAATATCCGAAAAATTATAATATACAATTATAGCTCACATGCTCCGAAATAAATAATTTATTCATTAAATCTTTGATATTTTTTAATAAGTGAATTATTACCGCACACTTTCCACTTTATTTCGTTACAACTCATCTAATTATAAGATATTTTTTTCACCATACGAAGTATCTGTTTCATAATACATATATGATTGTCACCTTGATACGAATAATTCATGCGAGCAGATCCGACGTTTTTTGTGTGCAGGATTGTGTAGAGCAATATCCACACTCCAAAATCAAGTGGGTGTGAATTTCCACACCCGAAAAAATCTACGCCCACGTAAATTACATATCCACAAAGATTTAACGGAGGCTGTAATGACATTGATAAATTATTAAATGAATTTATAAGTAAAAATAATTATAGAGCGTTTTTGATTATAAAAAAAAATAATTAAATGTTAAAAGAAAAAAATTGTATATTTGAAAATTTTATCAACTACTGGTGGAATGGGAGGAGATTTTTCATCAGAAATTTCCACAGTATTCCACACCCAGACCCAAAACAAATCGCCGGGCCTGCATGCGAGCTAATAATCTGTAATAATCGTAAAATACAATGTACATTTTATATCTAAGTCTAGCAGTCGTCGCGATTGCGTTTTGAAAAGGAATACGAAGATATGTGGACTGTCGAGCACGGCTAGCTGCTCGCTCGAGCGTCGCGAGTTGAGTGATATCGCACGCTGACCGCGCATGAAGACAAAGCGCGTGGCGGCGCGCCACGCACCGACCGTCGCGCGCCGTCTGAAAACCCAAATGACCAAAGCTGTGCATCAAACGATCTTACTATAATGAAATGCTAACGGAACTTTAAACTCTCTGAATAATCTATTTGCTACCTATCCATATATTTTTCGATGAATATTACACTTTTTCTATCTATTTTATAACTAATTACAAATAATCTAATTGTAAGATAGACATTTTTTCATCGTACGAAATATTTGTTTTGTCATATACAGGGTGGACCATTTTAATCCATCCAGTCGAATATCTCGAAAATCAAATTCGGGAGAGAAAAATTTTTCAGACAAAAGTTGTAGAGTTTCAAGGGGGACATAAGATGATAACATTGGTTTGAACCTGAGTGGCGTCGTCAAGGTCAGGACAAGGTCACTTTGAATTTTTTAAATGGAACCCCCAATTTTTCATTACATGTTCTTATAGCACGCCTCGAGAACTTTCCAAAACACATAAATAAAATATTATTTTATAAAATAAATCTTAAGTTATAAAGCTTAAAAGTTGGAGTACTGTTGGCATTAGCATCATCCAAGGTGTCCAAACACTAGCTAAAATCTTTTGAATGTTGTTCAGGATCATGACATTGATAAAGGCCAACGACCTTGGCCATCTTTAGCTAGTGTTTGGACACGTTGGATGATGCTAACGCCGACAGTACTCCAACTTTCAAGCTCCATAACTCAAGATTTATTTCATAAAAAAATATTTTATTTATGTGTTTTGGAAAGTTCTCGAGGCGTGCTATAAGAACATGTAATGAAAAATTGGGGGTTCCATTAAAAAAATTCAAAGTGACCTTGTCCTGACCTTGACGACGCCACTCAGGGTCAAACCAATGTTATCATCTTATGTCCCCCTCAAAACCCTACAACTTTTGTCTGAAAAATGTTTCTCTCCCGCGCTTGATTTTCGAGATATTCGACTGGATGGATTAAAATGGTCCACCCTGTATATGATCGTCACCTCGATACGAATAGTTAACAATCGCGCGAGCTAGTAACCGATCTGTAACAATCGTAATGTACAATAATTTTGTATAGTCTAGTGTCTAGCACTCCTCGCGATTGCATTTTGAAAAGGAATGCGAAGATATGTGTATGTGGAGCGTCGCGTATTACTACCTGCTCGCTCGAGCGTGATCGCGAATCGAATGATAGTGCGCCGACCACACGTAAAGATAAAGCGCCGACCGTCGCACACTGCTCGAACACAATGACCAAGGCCGCACGTCAAATGGTCTCACTACGATGAAATCGATTAACGAATCTTTAAACTCTTTGAATAATATATTTGTTAAAAATACAATAAGTAAGTATAAGGCAGATGGGAATCGGCGTGGTTATTGGTACGCTATATTTAATTTACATAAAATTTACTTCATTCTAAAAAGAAAATAAAAAAAAAATTCCTTACAGATTCGAAGACGAACTCGAATCGAATCTACTGTGATTCGATATCAAATAAAATTAAATTAAATTAAATTAAAGTTAATAGAATTAAATAATGTTTATTAAAAGCTTTCTTACAAATGTAGGAAAAAAATAAATTCACATCATTAAGTGGTATTAAAATAAATCAATTTAAGTGGTATTAAAATAAATCCAGCAAACCTGATACTTATTAATTAACCTTTCCCTTTAAGAGCCTAGAAAGAAGTCGATATCTTTATTTTTCTGGAAAATATGAATTTTTAAATATTGGGGAAAAAAGGCTTCAACGCAGGTAACATGGCAATTTTAAGATAGGATTCTAAAAGTCAAACGTTTCGGCTATCTAATAACCACACCGATTCCAATCTGCCTTACTTATTTATTGTATTTTTAATTCGGGGAATCTTGTTAGAGATTTTTATTGTTTATAACATATTTATTCGAATTTATAACATATCTATTCGTACACGGAAAGAACAATTTTGCTGGATCCGGATCTGAAAATAATTTTTCTGGAAGATATGAATTTTTAAACATTGGAGAAAAGAGGCTTCAACGCAGGTAACACGGCAATTTTAAGATAGGATTCTAAAAGTCAATTCAGTAATCAAAATAATTTTGTGGGAAAGTCAAAATAATTGCTAGAATATCAAAACGTTTTATAGCGATACTTATCATTTTTAACAATCTAACAAAATTTTTTGATGATTCAACAAGAATTAATTTCCAGATCTGTATTCAGCAAAATTTTTAGACCTTTCAACAAAATCGTTCTTTTTGTGTATTTTTCGATGAGCAAACTATTACTGTTCTACCTTACTTTTTACTTCATTTCGTAACTCATCTAAAATAGATTTACATATCTTACATATCTGATTCGCATGTCATTATCGATACCGCTAGTTAACATTTCAAACACAAGATACATTCTAATTCTTAAAGAAATAATTATTGCTCATTAATAAAATAATACTCAAAATAATTTCGATGACATACGGAATGGCACGCGCCATTATTTTAGATAATTGAACAATATAAAACAGACTTTTTTATTAAAAACTCGATTAATTATTGCGAGTTTTTTTAAATAAAATAATATTGAAATTTAAAATCTATTAAAATGAAGGAAAAATCTATTTGAGATTAAACAAGGCGTATTTTATTAGTAAAAAAAAATATCTGTAATAAATTATTTCAATAAGTGATCTTTAAAATCTCTATCTTTATAGAAATATTTTATTTATACGCTTCTTCCGAATATCTTATTTTACGAGAGTTTAATATCCATTCACCTGTATGGCACACGAGGGATACAGCATTATCAGTTTACCGATGAATTCTGGGTTAACATCGTGTGTGACAAATCTGTGCTCATGTTTCAGGTTGAAATGCTGTACCAACGCTACTTCCTACGTATGAATCAAAGTAACATGACACATGTGCTCGGTCTACTGGTCGGTTTGGCGCTGGCACTGGGCCTACTACTTATCATGAAGTTAATGCTGACCGGCAACCAGCCGCTCTTCACGCTCCTACAGAGACCCGAAAATCTTTCCCTCGCGATCACCCTGGTCACCTGCATCGCTGTTTACGCCGGTAAGACTCACTCTCCTTCGAAATTAATTTTTCAACAGTTCAACGTTTTACGCAGTTGAAAAATTTGTGCTAAATTTAATGGGTCTGCCCACCCCTTAAAATGATACATAAGTGTTGAGTTTTTTTTTAAGATATCATTTTAAAACCTTAGGGGTGGGCAAACCCCTTAACACATCTCACATGTCTCAAACGGTCCACTCAAATTTTTGTGTTAATTTAACGCAAGATGAATATGTTAGCAAGCAGAGTTAGGTAAGTTAATTTTTTTTAAACTAAGTTAGTGTTAAAGTTAACAGTCTAAAAATTTAACTTAGTTACAATACAAGTTAGTCAATAATAAAATTAATTGAGTTAAAAGTTAAGTTAATAAAAAAAACTAATTAAAAAGTTAAATTTTTTCATTTTATAATTATAGGGTTTTTAAATAAAGTTTCTAAATAAAATGTATATTTATCATACTTATATTTTTGTCGAGCCACGGATCAATTTTGAAGGACTTCTTCCAATGTGATTTAATGCACAGAAGGTCCGCGAACGGTGATTCCTTCCCGCGGCCAAACTATATATTTATTATATTATTACAATTGCCTTGATGTGTGTTCTCCAATTTGAGTTTGACGACACTAACTTAGACATGTATTTTATTTT